CCAGAAGAGATGTATTTGTTCTTCTTAACAAAGTCTGCCCTCAAGGGAAACTGTTTTGCCAGAGCAAAACCTGCTGGGGTTTTATCAGGGCCTAACCTACTTGGAGGAAGGGAAACACTCAACCCCATTTGGCTCCAGCCTTCTACAAAGTGGAAAGGAAGTACCCAGTTCCAGCTCCCGTTAGCCATCTGTCTCACCTAAGGCATTGGGTGTGGTGGCAGTGGGTACTGAGAAGCACTGTAGAGTTCACAGTCCAGAGGCTTTCCAAAAACCCAAGACCTAATAATAGGACTATAAAATGTTTCTCCTTCCCTCACACCTTACCACAACACCACTAAAGTTCTATTTGCCAGAGTTCTTTTCACCTAGTACATTGTATTCTGATTTTAACAAAAATTAGCAGACATTCTAAAAGGCAAAAATCGCAGTTTGAAGAGACTGAACAAGCACCAGGAGAACCAGAGTCAAATATGGTAGGTATGTTGGAATTATCAGACTGGGAATTTAAAAGAGCTATAATTGATATGCTAAGGACCATGATAGAAAAAGTAGCATTCAGGAACAGGTGGATAATGTAAGCAGGGAGATAAATATTCTAATAAAAAATGAAAAAGAAATGCTGGAGATCAAAAACACTAACAAAAATGAAGATTGCCATTGATGACCTCATTAGTAGACTGGACATTGCTGAGAAAAGAATCTCTGAGCTTGAGGATATGACAATAGAAACTTTCAAAAGTGAAAAGCAAAGAGAGAAAAAAAAGACTGACCTCCCTGCCCCAACATCCAAGACCTGCAGGAAAACTAAAAAAGGTGTAACATATAAGTAATGGGAATACTAGAGGGAGAAGAAAGGAATGAAGCAGTATTTAAAGCAATGTTGACAGAGATTTCTCCAAATTAAAGCTAGACATAGAATCAGGAAACTTAGAGAACACCAGTATCAGGAAGAGAAATGCCCCCCTAAAACACACTTAAGCATATAATATTCTAACTTCAGAAAAATCAAAAACTTGAAACCAGTGAGGGAAAAACACCTTACCTATAGAGGAACAAAGATAAGAATTACATCCAACTTCTCCTTGGAAATCATACAAGCAAGAGAGTGGGATATAGTATTTAAAATGTTGAGAGAAAAACTACCAACTTAGAATTCTGTACCCTATAAAATTATTCTTAAAAAGTAAAGGAGAAATAGATTTTCTTACAAAAATAGAAATTGAGGGAATTTGTAGCCACTAGACCTATCTTGCAAGAAATGTTAACAGGTTCTTTAGAGAGAAGGAAAATTATATAGATCTGAAATTCAGATCTACAGAAAGATAGGAAGAGCATCGGAAAAGAAGTAAATGAAGGTACAATAAAAAGTTATATTTTTCTTATTCTTAATTAGTCTAAAGATAACAGTTTGTTTAAAATAATAGCAACAATGTATTCTGCTATGTAATATATATACATACATATGCTTAGGTATACGTAAAATGGATGACAGAAATGATACAAAGGATAGGAGGGAAGAATTAGGAATATTTTGTTATTACAAAGTACTTGTACTACCCATGAAGCAGTTATTTGAAGCAGTTAAATAACATACCAATGTTATTTAAAATTGGTATGGATTAGTTGTAAATGTATAGTGCAACATCTAGGGTGACACCTAAGAAAAAAAGTGCTAAAAGAAGTATAACTGGTATACTAACAAAGGAGAGAAAATGGAATTACAAAATCTCAATTAAAAAACTACGAAAGACAGAAAAAATGTGGATGACAAAAATAGGAACCAAGAACAATGGCAATAAATAGAAAACAGTAATAAATTTGGTAGATATTAATCCAACTATATCAATAATCACTTTAAATGTCAATGATCTAAATAGAACAATTAAAAGAAAGGGATTGTCAGAATGGATTCAAAACAAGACCTAACTATACATTGTCTACAAGAAACCTACTTTAAATGTGAAGACACATAGATTAAAAGTAAATGGATGGGGGCTCTGGCTAGTGTGACTCAGTGGATTGAGAGCTGACCTATAAACCAAAGGGTCGCCCACTTGATTCCCAGTCAGGGCACATGCCTGGGTTGCGGGCCAGGTCCCCAGTCCAGGACGTGGGAAAGACAGCTACACATTGCTGTTTCTGTTTCTGTCCTTCCCTTCTCCTCTCTCTAAAAATAAATAAATAAAATATTTTTTAATAAAAATTAAATGGATGGGCAAAAAATACTATGCTAACGTTAATGAAAAGAAAACAGGAATGGTTATATTAATTTCAGACAAAACAGATTTCATAATGAGGAGTTATCAGGGATAAAGAGTATTATATATAATGGCCCTGGCTGGTGTGGCTCAGTGGATTGAGTGCCAACCTATGCACCAAAGGGTCACCAGTTCAATTCCCAGTCAGGGCAGATGCCTGTATTGCAGGCCAGGTCCCTGGTGGGGGGCATGTGAGAGGCAACCACTCAGTGCTGTTTCTCTCCCTGTCTTTCTCCCTCTTTCCCCCACCCTCTAAAAATAAATAAATAATTTTACACAAAGAGTATTATATAAAATGATCAAGGGGTCAATACTTCATGATGACAAAATAATTCTGCCTCACGTACATGCCCTGACTGGGGATCAAACCCACAACCTTTTTGTGTTGGGGAGACATGCCAACCAACTGAGCCACCCAGCCAGGGCCAGGTCCCTGCATTTTGAAGGCCCAATAGACTGGGACCTCCCTGTATACCTGAAGAAAAGCTAAGGCGGGTGGCAGATTGGCTAGCTGCGCTAATGGCAGAAACAAAGAAGAGGCTGCTGCTGCATTAGGATAAGCTTCGATATCAGAGTTTATCTGGACAAAGAAAGTTCAAGTGTTTCCTGTACACTAGATGTGGGCCACAAACAACACACCTATTCCTAAGAGAGATGTCATGGTGTTGTCATGGATCTGTCCAGGAGGGCTGCCTAAATATGCAAACACATCTCAACAGAAAGATGCTGGAGGTATCACAATGTAAACAACCAGTTGGAATAGAAATGTATTTGTCGAAATCAAGAAGTCAGCAGATGAGAGGTCTCCAAGGAGTTCACCTAAAGTACCCCATGAAAGAGTCAGCTTTAATGATGTTAGCAATGATGTTAGAAAATGCAGTGCGGTGTGGGCAGGTGCACTCGTAAATCACCAATCATGAAATGGGCAAGCGTGTTGAGTCTTCAAAAAAAATTCACTGAAGCTGAACACAGTCTCTCACAATGACGCCAGCTGGTGCACTGATGCAGATGGGTTCCTAGAATACTCACCTAGCATGGGAAACCTGTACTACAATGGCCGGTCCTGCAGAGGATAATTCTAAATTTTTGTGGGTTCTCCCTTATATAGTCACTTTGAAAACAGCTTTGCAGTTTTTTACAAACTTAAACATACACTTATACAATCCAGCAATTCCACTCCTGGATATTTATCTAAGAGAAGTGAAAACTTACATTCACCCCAAAATCTGTATATGAATTTTTATAGGTGTTTTATTCATAATTTCCCCAAACTGGAAACAACTCAAATGTCCTTTACCTGGTAAATGAATAAACAAATGGGGTACAGCCATACAATAGAATAATACTAGTCAGTAAGTAGAAAGGAATGAATTAGTGATCACATAATAACATGAGTGAATCTCATATGAGTTATGCTAAATGAAACAAGCCAGATTCAAAAGGTTACATACTGTACTTTGATTTATATGACATTCTGGAAAAGGTAAAATTATAGGGACAGCAAGATTAGTACCCGCCATGACTGCATTTGTTGAGACTCAAAACTGTACCCTAAAGAGGATAAATTTTACTGTATATACATTATACCAAAAAAATCTATGAAACAGACAAAAATCTCTGAAAGCTCCTTGATTCTGAGTCCTTCTACACAGTAATCTGGAAATACAAGCCTCACTAAATTTGTAGGATTTAGCCTGAGTAAAATGTGGTTAGTTAGTGGTGGTTATCTAATAGTTGAAGCTAGCTAGAGAATGGAGATAAGGGAAACATGATTCAAAGAAACTGTATGCATCATGTCCCAAGTGCTATAGTCATTAATTTAACAATGTTCTCACTCAAAATAACCTGTTAATTAATTTAATCCCTCCAAAAAATGTAAGGGAAGATAGGAAACAAAAATAAAGTTGCTTTCTGATTATAACCTATAACTTACAAGTCATGCTTATTCAACTTAATGGTTATATTTGGTTTGATAACTTTTTTCATGAACACTTGTGCTCATGGTATATGACTGTATATTGTATAAATTATATAGTGATATTTTACTATTATTTTACTATATTAGAGAATTTTAAGTGTGTTATTTTATGCTAACTGCCAAACAAATTTGTGAGTTAACACTACTTCTTAGCTCAGGACTTGTATTTTACTAGAGTAAATCAGGTTGCTCCTGCAAACTCTTTTAGTTTACAAGAGTTCAATTTTCTAAATTCTTAGTTTGGAACATTTAATAATTCTCTGTCCTGAAAGAGGTAATGCAGACTCCAAAGCTCTTCACTTCCCCTGGAATGATTTCCAATGGTTTTAAGTGACAATCTGATCTAACAGAATTTGGAAATGTGGATCCATGTCACCCACCTTCCCTATTCTAAGTTTGTTTTGTGTATGCTGGGGTATAAGCACTTAATTTACTTCAAATTAGGCCTAGATATGACAACTGCATTTAAGGCATGTGAGTTAATAATATAAGGTGGACAAAAGCATTCTACTGTGGTCTTTCTGATACTTCCAGTAATAAAGGGTGGAATTCAAAGTGGGCTTATGTAATGTTAGATTAGGTTTTGTGGTATTATAACTGGTTTCTTTGTTTATTTTATATTATTCCAGAGTGATGTCTGCAGGCCTCTACAGATAAATACTAAATGACTAATACTAGTGCTGCAAGAGAAAGTCAAGTCAGGGGAACCAAAAGGTAGCTGACCAAAGGCCCAATTATCAGACTGCTCCCAGTCCTTAACTTACTTTGATTGAATGGATGCCAGAGATTTTCTGAAGGTAGACTGAACATCTAACTGGAGTAGCATAGGAAGAGCTGGGTACCCACCCAGCTGGGCCCATAGTGAATGCATTGATGTCTTCTCAGCAATTGGGTAGCTTGAAGTTGACTGATCAGCATTCCAGATGGCTTCCATCTGGTCTTCCTGTCTAGAGAGTCAGAGAACACTAATTGGAAGCACCAAAATCTCCTGCACTCCATAGCCAAATAAAATATATGATTCTTATTTTCCCCTCTTCTCTTCACCACCACCACCCTGTCCTATAATGCCTTCCCCCACGGGGAGGAACATTAGCAGCGCCTCTTTGACTAAGAAAGGGATTAAACAGCAGAATTTGCTGAAATAGCTCTCCCCCACCCAAAAGCTGCATTTCCATGACTTCACCTAGTAATCAATTTTAAAATTGTCTTCTTAACTGCATGGAGTATATGGACAATATCCAGGCTATTTTTTTCCCCCAGCAACAGTCTTTTCCCCCTTTCTTCCCAAAGCTCCTACCTTCTTTTTTTTAAAGTAACACTTCTAAGTTTCTTCATTGGGTATTTGTTGCTTAATAAGGAAGAATCAGCTTCATTTTTTAAAAGGAAATCAAAATCAGATGTTAAGTATTTAAGTAGAAATATATATAAATAAGTCTCTTGCTAAATTAGCTAAGGAAATTAATAATCCTTAGACTCTCCACTGTACCATATTATGATTGTGGGGAAGGGATAGATCTTGTGCAGAATAAAAAAAGCATTAGGTTCCACATATCATCCAAAGAAAGTTGAATATCAGTCTTTCCTACCACATACCTTGATTTCTTGAATATGTCAGATTTTCTGTCCTTTTCTATTAGCTCTGGGAATGGCTGTTGAACAGATTTGATAGGGGCAGGTGTTTGCTTTCTGTCGATGATCAAAGGTACAGGTTGACTAAGATTTAATTTATGCATCTCTTGGAGCTAAAAATAAATTAAAAAAAAAAGAAGCAATGAAAAGAAAGGGCCAGAGTCTCTAAGAAGGTTTTTTGAGCCAGCTAGGTAAACTATGACTCTTTTTTCATCATGGATTTGCAAATCCTCTTTCTCCATTCTCTTTCTCCTCTTTTCCAATTATTCCTCAACCTCCACTTCACCTCTAACACACAGTTTCAGAGCTGGCAGCTACATTATATATAAACCTTGGTCCTGTGTAAGCTCTGATCCTAGTCCTTGAATTTCCTAGCTGTGTGACCTTGAGCTAGTTGCTAATTTTACCTGCACCTCTTTCTCCTTATTTCCAAGATAAGGATAGTAACACAGGCTTGTTGTGACAGTTGTCTAAGATAATATATATGGAAGCACTTCATAAATTGTGAGGCACTATGCAAATGTAATGATAACTAACATTTACTGAGTACTTACTGAATGTCAGATGCTTTCTATATAATAATTCATTTGGTATTTACAACAGCCTTATTATATGGGTACTGTTATTATTCTTGTATTATATATGGGGATCTGGAACTCAGAAATTTAAGTGGCTTGTCCCAGATCTCTTACTTAATATGTAGTGAAGCTGATTTGAACCTAGGCAATCTGATAGCAGAACCAACCTCTTTACCACCATCCTGACTCAGTGTAAGGTATTTATTTCATTTCTACACTCTTCTCCCTTTTGCCTTTTCCTCTCCCTTCTTTTTTTTTTTTAAAGATTTTATTTATTTATTTTTAGAGAGGGAAGGGAGGGAGGAGGGGAGAAAGAGAGAGAGAGAGAGAGAGAGAGAGAGAGAGAGAGAGAAACATCAATGTGCGGTTGCTGGGGGTTATGGCCTGCAACCCAGGAATGTACCCTGGCTGGGAATCGAACCTGGGACACTTTGGTTCCCAGCCCACGCTCAATCCACTGAGCTACGCCAGCCAGGGCCTCCTCTCCCTTCTTTATGCCTTGATACCCACCTTATCATCTAGATTATGGTGCCTGGACCCTAGACCCATATTCATTCTCTGAAATGTCCTAGACATTGTGACTCCTCTTAGCTCATGGCATGCCAACTCACCTTGCTTTACACTTATATTAGCCATATTTTCCAAACCAAAAGCTGTCAAAAATATTCATCTTGTCCAAGAGCTTTAATATTTAAAATGTAACTCTTCTGGAAAATTCACAATATGTCTGATTTGAATCAGGCTATAATAAGAAGTCTCTGTACCTTCTAAAGTAGCAAGTAAACTGTTCTCGTTAATTAATTTAGTGAAAGAAAAAGGTACAAATAAAAAATATTCCTAGACCTCCAAGAATATTCTAGAACTCCATGATAGAACATGTAATGGGAGCATGTAATCCCAGAACAAAGAAGTCTGATCTCACCTTTATAACTTTTGGAAGGTCATCTCAGACAGAGCTTTGTGACATAAGGAGCAGATTGTCAGAGTTGGACAGGATCTTCTATGCCTAGTGCTATAAAAGCAAGTCAAGTAAATCCTTATCTCCTTTTTTGTAAACTCACCATATTAAAACTTGCTTTCTGATAGTTGTGAGGAGAGAAGTAACCACCATGAATCAGTTGAGAGTAGTGACTTCAAGACGTTTCATATTTAGAGACTGGTAGATGTGGGTTGACTAGGAAGGAGTTGAGCATTTCTGGAAGTTTCTCCTATTCTAATCTTTTCTCATCTAGAGAGTCCAGACAGTATTCCTATCATCAGTTCAGGAGCCTCACTGAAGTCACAGTGGAGTGGGTTGAATGGTGAAACCCCAGAAGATATGTTCATCCAGAACCTGTGAATGTGATGTCACTTAGAAAAAGGGTCTTTACAGATGTAACTAAGGATCTTAAGATGAGATCAGTCTGGATTAACCAGGTGGGTCCTAAATCCATGACACATGACTTTTTAAGAGTCTGAAGTGAAGACAGACAAACTGAGAAAAGGGCATGGAAAAGATGGAGGCAGAGACTTGAGTTATGTAGCTACAAGTCAATAAATGCCAAGGATTGTCCACAGACACCAGAATCTAGGAGAGAGATATGGAATACAGTAATTTTTCCTCCCAGAGACTCCAGAAGAAACCAACTCCATCTTGGCTTCACAAACTGGCCTCCAGAACTGTAAGAGAATACATTTCTGATGTTTTAAGCCATCATGTTTGTTGTGGCAGCCCTAGGAAACCAATGTGCATAATATCTCCAGATAAATGTTGTTTTCAAAGCTTGCCCCTTTCATTTTCCATATAACACACTGGGGAGAGGGAATATAAAACAGGTTACCTGGCCAAATAAGGACATCATTTTCCTTAGACACTGATTCCGTTTCTGCTCTAGAGACTTCTGCTTCTCAGTCCAGACCACCATCACCTTTTTCTGGTAGTCATCAATTCTGCTTAGTACTAAGTAGAGGTTCTGGGTTTCATAACCTTTCCCACTGTTTTGGATGGCTTGTAATCGTTTGATTATGTTGTTTCTTGAAAAAAATTAACAAGAATTAGATGGATATAATTATTCACCATAATTCAACAAACTGGGCCTCATTTCTTCAATTCTCATCTCATCCTTAGTGAGTAGAGAAGGACGGAGTAAGAGTGTGAGGCTTGCTTAATGAGACCTTAATCTAGTTCCATATATGACTAAACTTTCAAAGATCTATATGGCTGTCAAATTTTCATCAACTCTTCACAGTTTAGTGTTATAACAGTGTTGTTTATTATTAATACATTAAAATTTTAATATTGATATATACAAGGCATACAAATATGCATAATACAACTTTTAAAAAGATTTTACTTATTTTTTAGAAAGGGGGAGGGAGGGAGAAAGAGAGGGAGAGAAACATCGATATGTGAGAAAAACATTGATCAGTTGCCTCTCACATGCCCCCAACCAGAAACCTGGCCCACAGCTCAGGCATATGCCCTGACTAGGAAGCGAATCAGTGACCTTTGGTTTCACAGGCCGGTGCTTAACATGCCTGGTGCCCACTGCCACCAGCCAGGATGGCACATGATACAATTACTAAAAAAAACCCCAACATGATGTCCTTGCCTTCAAAGCACATACAAGCCAGAATAGGAAACTAATAAATTAACTGTGTCAAAGAGAGAATGAAATAAATACTAAATAGAAATGTAAAAAGGAATGCATAATTAATTCTAAGAGGAACAAAAAAGGTTTTATAGGAAGATGTTGAATAGGATCTTGAGGAATAATCATAAAAATGTACTCTCTTATTATAATGTATGAAACCATGTTTGGATATCCTAAACAGATAGTGTTTCACCATCCACATGCTGCAGGGGTGGAAGAAGAATCTGCATTAAAGTGAAGTGATTTTCTAAAGTCATATAGTAAAAATAATAATAATAAAAATAAGGTCACATAATAAACAGCAGATTTGGGTAGCAAATCCAGATCTGTCTCACAATATCAATATTTCTCAAAGTGTGGACTGAATCATTTCTGGGAATAGGGGGATGTTGCTTGTTGAAAATACAGATCCCAAGGTGCTTCCCCAGATCTTTCGAATCAAAATCTTGGTGGTAGGTTTCAGGATCTGTATTTTAAACAAAATCTCAGGCAAATCTTAAGTTTGGGAAGAAGGGGATGAGGAATTGCAGGTTGAGGGAATACTATATACAAATGTAAGAATGAAAGTTATATTTTGGGAGTGGTGAGTAGTCTAGGACTTTTACGCCGTGGACATATGAAAGGATGTGGTGGGGGAGGAGACCGAAATGACTGGATTATGTAAGGCCTTAAAAGGCATGTTAAACAGTTTAGATTTGGGGGGTGGGGGTTGACAATGGGAACCTATTGAAGATATTTTTCTGAATATATGTATTTTATATATATGTATACACATAGAGAAAATAACTCTTAGATCTCTTTTGTGGGTTATGTAATTAATAGCTTAGAACCTACTGTATGTATATATGGATAATTTAATACTTAAATATGTCAACTTTCTGAATTAATTTAGTATATTTTAATTAATTTTCCAATAGCCTTGGATTTTTTCCATATCCTTTAGATTATTTTTGTTTTGTTTTTTCATTCTTATGCAATTTTTAAAAAGATTTTAGATGTAACTATCTTTATTACATGTGTTTTTAATCACTTCTCCACATGCATTACAGAATGCCTATGACATCCATTCCCATTAATAATGTTGTTCTCAATGAAGCAAGTGGGTAACATTCTTATAACCATCTCTTATACTATTCAAAAATAGTTAATATTATTATACTTCATATTTTCTCTTCCATATAATGTTATAATCTTCTTGACCTAGCTAGCCTTGTAATGGAATCTTCAACCTATCAATATTTTGTTTGTTACACATTAGTGATTTGATTATAACATTGAATATTAAAGAAGAGCTTTCTAAAGAAAAAATTGATCTTTGATGGGATTAAAGTTATAATTGTATACATTGAGTGTTGTTTCAAAATGTTGATCTATGTGTTTCAATTTTTAGATGATTTTTACTAAAGCAGGTTAGAGCATATTACCTAGGTCTTCAAAATATCCAATAAATCCAAACAAACTAATTGACCTACAAAAATTGAGAAAGTTGTCTAAGAACTTCCCTCTAAAAGTACCAAGCCTATATAATATCATAGGTGAAATCTGCCAAACCTTAAAAGAACAGCTAATTTTGCTATTAAACTCCCAACCAGAGAAAAAGATAGATTTTCACATTTTTTAATGAAAGAAGCTTAAAATTATGCCAAAAATTGACAAAGCACCAAAAGAAGTAAACCGTCAATCAAACTTACTAATTAATATCAGTACAAAAATAAATAAAATACTAGCAAACAAATTCCCTAATACATTCACAGAAGGATGACAAATAGGATTTATTCCAGGAATACAATGATGATTTAATATAACTAATTATATTAATAGATCTGAGGAAAAAATAATATTTTCCTTAAAAAACATGAAAATGACATGCTGAAATTATATTTAACAAAATGTGATTTAACAAATTTAACAATTTAACATCCATTTTTTATTTTTATTTAACCCTCACCTGAGGACATGCTTATTTATTTTAGAGAGAGGGGTAGGGAGGAACAGAAACATCAATCAGTTGCCTCTCACATGCACCCTGACTGGGGCCTGAACCTACACCTAGGCACGTGTCCTGACCCACCACAACCTTTTGGTTTACAGTACAATGCTCCAATCAACTGAGCTACACTGGCCAGGGCCAATTCTTGATTTTTAAAAACTATAATGAAATGGGAGCAAATGGGTATTTTAATATGATAAAATGTATTTAAATCCAAAAGCCAGTATTTTTCTTACAAATACTAGAAAGATATTCACTGTCACCACTATCTTTTTAACCAATTTATTCTTATTTTTTAACAAGTAGCAATGAAAGAAGGACTTATATTTTGGCCACCTGAGTTACACAAGAGTGGAGAAAATAAAAAAGAAATTGACAAAGGTTAAGGACATTTTGCACCTTTTTCAGAAAGGAGAATATCAATGTAAATGATCCTTTAAAAACATTTGAATATGAACTTTTCTTAGAAAAGAATTCATAGGGCCATGGAAAGGCACTCACAGCTGTTACTCAGGGCAGTCAAATGAATGAAGATGGTCTTGTAGCCATATCACCAATATTTTTGAACAGAATCCTGGAGGCACTAACCAATTCAAGAGAGAAATTACATGTTTAAAAATTTGAAACTCTGCCCTGGCTGGCATAGCTCAGTGGATTGAGCGCGGGCTGTGAACCAAAGTGTCGCAGGTTCGATTCCCAGTCAGGGCACATGCCCGGGTTGCAGGCCACGGCCCCCAGCAACCGCACACTGATGGTCTCTCTCTCTCTCTCTCTCTCTGTCTCTCTCTCTCTCTCTCCCCTCCTCCCTCCCTTCTTTCCCTCTCTAAAAAATAAAAATAAAAATAAAATCTTTAAAAAAAAATTGAAACTCTGTCGCTTCTCAGCCTTTTGGCTAATATCAAGTGTAAAAATTGGAAACTCTAAATGTAAAAAATTATTATTGGTAGGTAATATGATTACAAACCTGGAGAACTTAAGAATATTAATTGAAAAACTTTCACATGCTTGAATACAGTAAGATGGCTGCATACCAAATTGATAGAGAGAAATGGTCTGATGGTAGTGGATCATCAGAACTCAACTAAAGCTAATGTCATTATACAAATAATTTCCATTTACAATAGTAACAACAATAAAAACTACCAGGATATACACTTATGGAAGAATATACCAGAGCTATTTGAAAACTTTAAGATGCTCCTGAAGGACACACACACACATACCCTGGACAAAAAGAAAGTTAAACCATAGTCTTGGATAGGAAGACTGTGGTAGTGAAAATAAGCTAGATTTTCCTTTTTTAACAAATAACCCCCAAATCTTAGCAGCTAAAAATAAAATGTACTTTCTGTTCATACTACAAATCCATCAGGGTTCACCAAGGAGAGCTTCATTGTACACCCTCAGGAACACAGGCTAACAGAACAGCCATCACCTTAAACATTGTAGGTTATCATGCTAGAGGCAACGGGAACTTTGGAGAGTCTCAAACAGACAATGACAAGCTCAGCACAGAAATGACACACATCAGTTCTGCTCACATCTTATTGATGAGTACTGGCAAACACTATTAATGACTGCAACAAAGACGCAGCATCACAAAAAACTAATAACCAGCAGTGAAAGTACTAAAATAGACCAAGAAAGAATTTTTAAAATCAAAATGTTTTACAAAGCAAAACCCACCAAAAGCAGAATTAAAACACAAACAAGTAGGGGAAATTTGGCAGTTTATATCACAGACATGGGACTAATTTTCCAAATATTTAAGCAGAGTCCCCAAATCAATTTTAGAAAGCAAGTTGACAACCCACGTGAAATATGGGCAAAATATTTTAATAGTGTCTTCCCAGAAAAGAAAATACAGATGGCTATTAAGTCTAGGAAAAGATGTTTAACCACACCCATAATAAAAATAATGACAATTGAATCAGCGAAATACCGTATTTTATTCTATTCTGTTGGCACTGAACAAAAAAATTTGACAATGGTTCATGTTAGTCTTGATGTGAGGAAATGCTGTTTTATAACATTGACCAATATGTAAATTGTTACAACCTCTTTGGAAAGCAATTTGCTGAAGATCTATCACAATTATAAAACACCCTTTGATCCAGAAATTCTACTTCTAGGAATATACATACATATATATGAGTGTGCACAAGATTGTTCATAGAAGTATATTTTTATAATGCAAAATACTGAAAACATAAATATCAATCAGAGGTTAAGTAGATTCTGGTAAATCCAGACTTTGAATACTATGTGGTTATAAAATGAATGAGTAGACTCTTATGTACTAGAACCTGTTACCTAATACTCAATATCTAAGTTAAGTTATGAAAAAAAATCAAATGTTATAACTTTAAAATATGTAAAAAGGGGGATAAAAGAGCATATGTACTTTTCTACATATGCAAAAAATGTTTCTGAATGCACATACATTAGTAGCCCTGGGGTAGAGGCCTGAAGGCTATAGATAGGACTATTAGGGAGACTTTTTCACCCCATCATTTGCATTTTTAAAATATTGTACCAGGTGAATGTAATACTGTTTTTTTTAATTTAAATATAACAAAGGGAAAAAAGATATAAGACAACTGGAGAATGACCAGGAACATGTTATTTAAAATTCTCAAGTGGATAAAAGTGTTAAATTGTAAAAACAGATTGCAAAAACTAGGAATATTCCGTTTAGAAAGAGAAAACTAAAGACAGGTATAGAGTAAAACATTTTCCAACAAAGCTAAGATTATTTAAGCTTTGAAATTAAAATTTCTGATTATATCTTGGATAAGTATTTCTTTTGCTCCTTGTTGTTTCAATCCTTAGTTATCAAGTGGATTCTGTCCTCAAAAATGTAAATTTTGTGAGAACAAGGAACTTTGTTTCATTTCACTGCTATATGCCTAGCACCTAGAACAATGCTTAGTACACAGTAAGTGTTACCATAAATATCTGTTGAATAAATAACATAGTTGTTTCTATAATTAATAACCTCTTCTATTATAGATTTTAGTTTGGCTTCTTGTGATTTAAACTTTAAAAATTTCTCCAAAATAATAGGTTGGCAACTTCAAAACACAAATGCTAAGGATGTACTTTCCCTGACCTATTTGTGATAATTTCAACTTCAATTTATATATTACTTTTTAAAAGATTTTATTTATTTATATTTTTTAGAGGGAGGGGAAGGGAAGGAGAAAGAGAGGGAGAGAAACATCAATGTGTGGTTGCCTCTTACGTGCCCCAAACTGGGGACCTGGCCTGCAACCCAGGCATGTACCCTGACTAGAAATCGAACCAGTGACCTTTCAGTGTACAGGACGACTCTTTAACCCAATAGCCACATTGGTCAGGGCTAATATTTGCAATTTTTAAAAATCAGGATGACTACCTGTTTCTTCCAGGTCACTCCAGCAGTGAGGTTGCCACAGCAATGCCTTATACATTACCTGCCATCTCCCATTTTAAAAATCATGTCTTCTGGTGAGCCCAAGCTGATATAAAAAATTGAGAATAACTGGAAGCATCTCTAAACTTTTGAAGTTGGTATTTTGGAGATCAGTCATGATCTACAAAATTTATCTTAGCATCTCTGCTAGAGATATGTATAAATGAAATTGTTATATACTACTTATTTTCTAAAAAAAAAAATCTCCTTTTGCTAACTTAATTAGGCTTCCATCCCATAGACCTTCCATAAGAGAATATTTAGAACATCTGATCTGACAAATATGTATGTACTTACAGGGAATTGAGGGAGGATATTTGAAATCAGGTAAACCAGAAATCTGAAAATATAATAGTTATATCTACCTTGCATGCTGGATCAGCCTATAGGCAATGTACTTGTGGAATAGGTATCCCAGCCGAACGGTGTCTGTATGAAATGTCTCAATTATGAGATTCCTAGCGGTTGTGTGTAGCTCTGAAGGAAGTCCAGAAGTTTTTGTAGCCTGATCTAAGAGTATTAGGTTCTTCCTTTGAGCCTCCACATCAACAAAATACCTCTGCTCTTTGAGCTCTTGGGGAGAGGAAGGAGGTACCATCATCTTGGGTTTCTTGGTGCCTGAAACTGAAGTCATTATGCAGGGCTTGCTTATAGGGGGGAATCGGGATTTCCAGTCCCATTCAGAATGCAAAATCTGTGATGTTTTGGGTAGTTGAGTAGGAAGAGAAGGAAGTGATGTTATAGGCTTCCTGAGAGTTGCAAGGTATCCATCATCAATGGAAGGGGTTTGTGATCCTGGTGTCCTGTAATTGGTGAGATAGGACTGAAATGTCATAAACTGTTCCATAGCAAAAGGATCATGGAATCTCTGGATTTCTTCACAAGTGTCAGAGACCTCTGATATTTGGAACTTCTTAGTGGTGAGAGGGGCTTGAGGTGCTTTGGAACTTGGAGCACTGGGATGGACGAATGCTGATTTGGACTTTAAAGAAGAAATAATTGCCAATCTTTCCTGACTTTTCTTAGCGACAGAAGAGGACAAATCTTTCTGGGGCATTCCAGGGGTTGAGGGAGCCCATAGTGCTGGACGATGCCTAGGGGTGGGAGAGATCCATAGTGGGGAGGCTTGTCTAGGAAAGGTCCACGGTGCCAGATGCTGTCCAAGGGTGGAAGGGGCTTGTAGATAGGAAGACTGCTCATAGGTGGCAGGGAGCTGAAATGTCTGGTGCTGCTCAGAGAGGGTTAAGGGTTCAGATTCCATGAGATCCTCAGGGATAGAGGAGGCCCCAGGTACCAAGGACTTCCCAGGAGCAAGAGGAGCCCAAAGACTGGGAATCTGTGAGGAGGTGGGTGGAACTCCAGATATAAAGGGCTGTCCAGGGGCAAGAGGTGACTGGGGAGTCAGAGACTCCTTAGTTCTGAGGAACTTCCTAGAGCTAAGAAGGGAATCCAGTGTAAGGGGCTGTTCTGGAGTTGGAGGGGCCCCGGATACTGGGAGCTTCCCAGGGGTGGGACCGCCCTCTGGTGCTAAGAACTGCACAGAGGCGGACTGACCCTTACAAACCAGTGCCTGTCCAGAGGAAGGAAAAGTCTGTGGTGCCAGGAGCCTCTTAGGGTCAGAAGCAATCCCTTTTGCTAGGGATTTCTCAGGGACTTGGGTAAAAGGAGACCTTGATATCTGCAAAGGAGTAGAAGAGACCTCAAATATAGAGGACTTCTCAGCAATAGATGATGCCAGAGACTGCCTAGGTTTTGATGGAATGGAGTGCCTAGAGGGGAGAGACATCTTTGATTCTTGAAATGGTTTAAGAGTGGAAGGAGCCATTATGGGGAATTGCTTAGGAATGTGGGGGGCACTTGGTTTGATGGATTTATCAGTAACAGGAAAGGTCCCCACTTTCAGGGTATGTCCTAAAGGAGGAGCAGCCCAATGTTGTGAAAGCTGCTCATTAGTGAGAGGAGCTCTTGATTTTAGGTCCTGCTTAGACATATGAGTAATATCCATAAGCTGGGCCTGTCCTGGGGTGTAGGGAGCCCCCAAAAGTTGGACTTGCTTAGGGGTAAGGGGATATCTTAAAATGTGGGCTTTATCTGAGGTGAGAGGGGGCCCCAAAGACCTCTTCTGTTTAGGGGTAAGAGTGACAGCTGATACCCAGCCATTTTGTGGAATAATGGGAGCTCCCAATTCCTGGGCCTGATTCAGAGTGAAAGGAGTGCCGAATGACTGAGCCAGTTCATGGGAAGGAGTGACCCCCAGTGTTTGGTTCTGCTTAAGAGAAAGAGTTTTTGATACTTTCTGAACCATTTCTGGAGTAACAGAGACCCCTGATATCCAGGCCTGTTCTGCAGTAAGAGAGGTCTCTAATGTCTGAGCCTGGTCCGGGGTGACCATGACCCCAAATGCCTGGGCCTTTTCAGGAGTGACAGTGACCCCAAGTGCCTGGGCCTGTTTAGGAGTGACAGTGACCCCAAGTGCCTGTGCCTGTTCAGGGGTGAGAGTGAGCCCAAGTGCCTGGGCCTGCTGAGGGGTAACAATGACTCCAAGTGCGTGGGCTTGTTCAGGAGTGACAGTGACCCCAAGTTCCTGGGCCTGCTGAGGGGTAACAGTGACCCTGAGTGCCTGGGCCTGTTTGGGAGTGACAGTGACCCCAAGTGCCTGGGCCTGCTGAGGGGTGAGAGTGACCCCAAGTTCCTGGGCCTGTTCGGGAGTGACAGTGACCCCAAGTTCCTGGGCCTGCTGAGGGGTGACAGTGACCCTGAGTGCCTGGGCCTGTTTGGGAGTGACAGTGACCCCAAGTGCCTGGGCCTGCTGAGGGGTAACAATGACTCCAAGTGCCTGGGCTTGTTCAGGAGTGACAGTGACCCCAAGTTCCTGGGCCTGCTGAGGGGTGACAGTGACCCCAAGTGCCTGGGCCTGTTCAGGGGTGACAGTGACCCCAAGTGACAGGGCCTGTTCAGGAGTGACAGTGACTCCAAGTTCCTGGGCCTGTTCAGGGGTGACAGTGACCCTAAGTGCCTGTGCCTGTTCAGGGGTGACAGTGACCCCAAGTGCCTGGGCCTGTTCAGGGGTGACAGTGACCCTAAGTGCCTGTGCCTGTTCAGGGGTGACAGTTACCCCAAGGGCCTGTGCCAGCTGAGGGGTGAGAGTGACCCCAAGTGCCTGGGCCTGTTCAGGGGTGACAGTGACCCCAAGTGCCTGGGCCTGCTGAGGGGTGAGAGTGACCCCCGAGTGCCTGGGCCTGCTCAGGAGTGACAGTGACCCCAAGTGCCTGGGCCTGTTCAGAGGGTGACAGTGACCCCAAGTGCCTGGGCCTGCTGAGGGGTGACACTGACCCCAAGTGCCTGGGCCTGCTGAGGGGTGACAGTGACCCCAAGTGCCTGGGCCTGTTCAGAGGTGAGAGTGACCCCAAGTTCCTGGGCCTGCTGCGGAGTGAGAGTGACCCCGAGTACCTGGGCCTGCTCAGGGGTGACAGTGACCCCCAAGTGCCTGGGCCTGTTCAGGGAGTGACAGTGACCCCCAAGTGCCTGGGCCTGTTCAGGGAGTGACAGTGACCCCAAGTGCCTGGGCCTGTTCAGGGGGTGACAGTGACCCCAAGTGCCCGCGCCTGTTCAGGGGTGAGAGTGACCCCAAGTGCCTGGGCCTGCTGAGGGGTGACAGTGACCCCGAGTGCCTGGGCCTGTTCAGGAGTGACAGTGACCCCAAGTGCCTGCGCCTGTTCAGGGGTGAGAGTGAGCCCAAGTGCCTGGGCCTGCTGAGGGGTGACAGTGACCCCAAGTGCCTGGGCCTGTTCGGGAGTGACAGTGACCCCAAGTTCCTGGGCCTGCTGCGGAGTGAGAGTGACCCCGAGTGCCTGGGCCTGTTCAGGGGTGACAGTGACCCCAAGTGCCTGGGCCTGTTCAGGAGTGACAGTGACCCCAAGTGCCTGGGCCTGTTCAGGAGTGACAGTGACCCCAAGTGCCTGGGCCTGTTCAGGGGTGAGCAGTGACCCCAAGTGCCTGGGCCTGCTGAGGGGTGACAGTGACCCCGAGTTCCTGGGCCTTTTCAGGAGTGACAGTGACCCCAAGTGCCTGTGCCTGCTGAGGGGTGAGAGTGACCCCAAGTGCCTGGGCCTGCTGAGGGGTGACAGTGACCCCAAGTGCCTGGGCCTGCTGAGGGGTGACAGTGATCCCAAGTGCCTGGGCCTGTTCGGGAGTGACAGTGACCCCAAGTTCCTGGGCCTGCTGAGGGGTGACAGTGATCCCAAGTGCCTGGGCCTGTTCAGGGGTGAGAGTGACCCCAAGTGCCTGGGCCTGTTCAGGGGTGAGAGTGACTCTTAGTGCCTGGGACTTCTGAGGGGTGACAGTGACCCCGAGTGCCTGGGCCTGTTCAGGAGTGACAGTGACCCCAAGTTCCTGGGCCTGCTGAGGGGTGAGAGTGAGCCCAAGTGCCTGGGCCTGTTCGGGAGTGACAGTGACCCCCAGTTTCTGGGCCTGCTGAGGGGTGACAGTGACCCCGAGTGCCTGGGCCTGTTCAGGAGTGACAGTGACCCCAAGTGCCTGCGCCTGTTCAGGGGTGAGAGTGACCCCAAGTGCCTGGGCCTGCTGAGGGGTGAGAGTGACCCCGAGTGCCTGGGCCTGTTCAGGAGTGACAGTGACCCCAAGTGACTGGGCCTGTTCAGGGGTGACAGTGACCCCAAGTGCCTGGGCCTGCTGAGGGGTGACAGTGACCCCGAGTGCCTGGGCCTGTTCAGGAGTGACAGTGACCCCAAGTGCCTGTGCCTGTTCAGAGGTGACAGTGACCCCAAGTTCCTGGGCCTGCTGAGGAGTGAGAGTGACCCCGAGTGCCTGGGCCTGTTCAGGGGTGACAGTGACCCCAAGTGACTGGGCCTGCTGAGGAGTGAGAGTGACCCCGAGTTCCTGGGCCTTTTCAGGAGTGACAGTGACCCCAAGTGCTTGTGCCTGCTGAGGGATGAGAGTGAGCCCAAGTGCCTGGGCCTGTTCGGGAGTGACAGTGACCCCAAGTTCCTGGGCCTGCTGAGGGGTGACAGTGATCCCAAGTGCCTGGGCCTGTTCGGGAGTGACAGTGACCCCAAGTTCCTGGGCCTGCTGAGGGGTGACAGTGATCCCAAGTGCCTGGGCCTGTTCGGGAGTGACAGTGACCCCAAGTTCCTGGCCCTGCTGAGGGGTGAGAGTGACCCCAAGGGCCTGGGCCTGTTCAGGGGTGTGAGTGAGCCCAAGTACCTGGGCCTGCTGAGGGGTGACAATAACTCCAAGTGGGTGGGCTTGTTCAGGAGTGGCAGTGACCCCAAGTGCCTGGGCCTGCTGAGGGGTGAGAGTGACCTCAAAAGCCTGGGCCTGCTGCCCACTGAGACTGAGCCTCTGGGTCTGGACCTGCTTGGGGGTGAATGTGATTTCCTGGGTCTGGGCCCACTGAGGGATATGAATGACCTCATGTGCGTGGCCCTGTTCTTGGGTAATAGGGACCCCCCAAATCTGTGCCTGTTCTGCCGTTAGTGGCATGTGCTTTGCCTGGGCTTGTTGTAATGTGAGAGATGACTTTAGTGACTGGTTTTCCTCGGGGGTAATAGGGGTCCTCAATGCCTGGTCTTGTTGCTGCATAAGAAAGGCCTCTGGTACTTGTGTCTTCTGAAGTTTGAAAGGAATTTTCAATTTGGGGATTTGTTCAAAAGTGAGAGGAGTCCTCAATGCCTGTGCCTGCTCAGGTGGATAAGCTACTCCTAAACCCTGAGACATCTTTGGAGTAGGGGTACTCCCCAAAGCCTGAATCTGCTGAGAGGGGTGAGTGATTCCCAGTGCTGGGGCCTCCTCATGAATGACAGCAATGGACTTTGTGGGAGACTTTCCAGAAATAGGAAAGGGCTCAGGTGAGGAAGACTGTGTGGAGGTGGGAAGAATGATTGGCATGGAGTGCTCTTCAGCAAGAGTCTCTGGTGTCTTAAGATTTACATGCGACTCTTTTCTTTTCTGTAACTGATATGCCTTTTTCCACATGTTCTTCCATCTGGGAGCCAATGTCACTGAAGTGTGGCCTAATACCTTTCCAAGTTCTTCAATGTTTTCCTCCTTAATCTTCATCCGCTCCTTTACTTTTTTCTGCCACTGACTTTCATGTTCCTCTACCTTTCTCATTGATTTCTGCTTCTCTTCATCCTCCTCCCAACTACTTTCTTGCTTCAGATGTTTGACTTCTTTCTGAATCTGCCCCATCTGCTGTCCCTTGTTCTTCTCCAAGAGTATTCCTTGCCCTTTGATTTTTTGCCTCCATGCTTCCAGCTGCTGCTTTTGCTTCTGCTCCTCTTTCTCCTCTTCCATTTGCTTTTGCTTCTCATCTTGCTCAATCTGCTTTTGCATCCTCTGTCTTTGCCATTCCTTCCATGCTTCCTCCAGCTCCTGCTCTTGCTTTCCCTCCTTCATCTGGAGCCATGCCTTTTCCTTATCCAAATTCTTCCTTGTCATCTCATAGCTTGTCTTCCAGAGATTCCTTTCTTCTGGCAACTGGTGTTTAAGATCCATATCAAAACTTTTTCCTTGAACTTCTTGCAGATATTCCTCCTGTCTTTGTTTTTCCTTCTCAGGCCCTGTCCCTGCTATTGAGGCTATAGGAACACCTCTTTCACTTCCTATTTCTGTCAAGATCGCTTGTATCACACTGTGAGTGACTGGGTCCATGCTCACAGATGACAATAAGGAGCTCATTTCAGACATTGTACTAGTTGGCTTCTGAGAATGCAATCCTGGCATAAGTAAGACTGCCTTTTTTCGTTTAATAGGTTTCTTTCCAACGTGTCCTGCATTTTTTATGTCTTTATATTTTCTTAAGACTTTTGTCACAGTTTCAGCCACATTTTGGAAATATTCCTCCATTTTTGCCTTTATGATTTCTAATTTCTCCACCTCTGCTTTTTTTAGCATTAACTCTTCTTCTGGCACAGTTTTTTTATTCAAAGGCTTTCCTGTGTTATCAATTTTCTCTTTTAAGAAAGCCATTATGGCTTTATGAAAGTCTTCTAGATTACTCTGTTCAATTTTGCCATCTGAACTTCCTAGAACTTGAGTAGATTCTGAAGTCTCTTTAGTTACCCTAGGTTGTGACTTAACAAGTTCATGAGACTTGAGCTTCTTGGTGAAAACTGACATGTCCTTCTCTGCAGTTTTTCCTTCTTTGCTTATAGTAGTTTCTGGAGAGATGTGATGTTTTTTTCCTTTCCTTTTTACTTTCTCAAAGGGACGACCAAGTTGGATTGAACTGTATGGCTGTGCTTGGCTACTCATATCACTTTTGCTTTCTTTGTCCGTTGACTCTGTGGCAGGCTTCTCTTGAATCTCTGAAGAAATTTGGCTTTTCTCAAGTATATGTTCAAGTTTCATATTCCTGAGTCGGTGCCATACATTAGGTACACTTTTGCCATCTTGGCTCTTTGTGTCAGTAGAAGGGAAATCAGCAGGAACACGCTGAATTTTTGATTCAGTGAATGACTTTGATTTGGCTTCAGAAAGGAATTTTATTTCTTTACTCTTCTTTTCCAGTGCTGGTAGCTCAAAGTGGTGATCAACTTTGGTCTCTGAGACTATCTCTTTACCTTTTTCATCACTCAGAGTAGATCCAGAGGTCTCCTGCACATACGGGCTTTTTGCGCTCGCTGTTTTCTGTGATTGATACTGATCAGTCCCACCTTTCTCATAGACATCACCTTTCTTCAGTGATCTCTTACCTTTAGTGATATCTTCAGAAGGTGTTTTCTCTACTTTCTCAGGTAGAAGGGATTGCTGTTCAGTTAAATCTGGAGTCATTTCATCTTGGGCTGTATATAAAATACCTGAGTCCCACTTGATCCCTGAGGCTTTGGTACCCTTGCTTTGGGCCTCCTCCATACTATTTTCAAACTCTTTGGCTAAAATACTATCTATACTCTCTTCTTTATCAGCCTTGCTACTGGTCATGGATGATTGTGGAGAAAGCTCAGGTGATACTTTCAAGTTTGATGTGAGTGACCCTGTTGACACTTTGGATTGAATAAGTCGTTCACATTTTTCTTCTGCATCTTGAAGTTTCTGCTGAAGCATTTCATTTTCTTTACTGAGCTCTTGTATTATCTTCAGGGAGACCTCTTTTTCTCCTCCACTTATCTCATTCATATACATATTGGCATTTTGGAAGTTAACTTTTAATTCATCCTTTAGTGAACTCAATGCTATAGAAAGGTTTTTTATCGTCGATGATATATATTTAATAGCACTGTTTTCCAATTTATTGAACATTGCAGTTTTTACAAGTTCCTGTAGCATACCTTGGATTTCTGAAACCTTTGTATTTGTTGCGAATTCATCACTAATCATCTGATCTGATCTTAAAGCATGGGCTGTTGCAGGTCGCTTTATAACTCTTTCTTTCCAAGATTTCCATAGAGTACCTCTGGTCGCTAGAAGAAAAAAAAACATGAAACACAAAATGATGAGATTGCATTTCTTTTTCTGTGTTGTGTTCTATCTATGTTTAAGCCTAAAGAAGTTAGTGTAAATTAACAGATACCTAAAGGAATCAAGTTTGTTTTGTAAATTAACAGATAGCTAAAGGAAGCAAATTATTATTATTTGATGATAATTACTCATCAAATACAACATATCAACAGAGATAGAAATTAGAAAAGCCAAGTGGAATAAATGGAGCTGAATAGTATAATAACTAAAATAAAAAATTAGTAAGTGTTGCAGGTTCGATTCCCAGTCAGGGTACATGCCTGGGTTGCAGGCCATGACCCCCAGCAACCACACATTGATGTTTCTCTCTCTCTCTCTCTCTCTCTCTCTCTCTCTCTCTCTCTCTCTCCCCTCCAAAAAAAATTAGCCATAAGTGTTCAACAGTAGATTTGAACTAACAGAAGAAAATAACCAGCAAACTTGATATTAGATTAGTAGAAATTGTCTAATCTGAAGAACAGGGAGAAGAAAGAATAAAGAAAAATAAACAAAGCCTCGGACACTTGTGGGACACATTAAGCATACCAATGTACAAATAATAAGGCCCAGAAAAAGAGAGAGGGACATTAAAAGTAATTGAAGAAATGGCTAAATCATCCCAAATTTGGTAAAAAAACAAAAACAAAACATTAATTTACACATTCAAGAAATTCAGCAAATTCTAACTATTACAAATACAAAATAATCCATACCTAGACAAATTATTGTCACACCACTGAAAGCCAGACAAGGAGAGAATCTTTAAAGAAAAAAGAGAAAAATTACTTACCACAATCTAAAGAGACTCATCAGGTACAGGGGAAACCACAGCTCACTCTTTATCAGAAACAATGGAGGCCAGAAGGCAGTGGGCTGATATATTCAAAGTGCTGAAAGAATTATACTTTGAATATATATACAAGAATTCTATATCCAGCAAATCTATTCAAAAAGTGAAGGTAAGGCATCCATTCCCTGAAATAACATTCTTCCCAAAGTCACATGCATTAACAACTATTATAACTCTCTTCATTGTGTTTTTAAACACTTCTCTAAATGCATTATGGAATGTCTATAATATCCATTCCCTGAAATAATACTCTTTTCAAAGTAGCATGTATCTACAACTCATAAAAAAAGATTAAAAATGAGATATACAGAGGGCAAGTATGCATATGAAAAGATGCTCAATATCATGTTATTAGAGAATTGCAAATTACAATGAGATACTGTTATACACCTATTAAAATAGCTGCAATCCAAAAACTGATAATACCAGATGTTGACAAGGATAGGGAGCAAAAGGAACTCTTGCTTATTACTGGTGGGAAATAAAAAATGGTACAGCTACTTGGGAAGACAGTTTGGAATTTTTTTTACAAAGTTACTTAACATAGTAATGTAGTCTTACAGGGTGCAGCAATCATTCTCCTAGGTATTTACCCAATTAACTTGAAAATTTATGTCCATATACAAAAAAAACTTGCACGAATATATTTATAACAACTTTATTCTTAAACATGAAAATCTAGAAGCAACCAAGATGTCCTTCAATAGGTGGATAAACAAACTGTGGTACATCTATACATTGGAACATTATTCATCAATAAAAAGGAATATGTCATTAAGCCACAAAAAGATATGGAAGAACCTTAAATGTGTATTGCTAAGTAATAGAAACCAGTCTGAAAAAGCTCCGTACTACATAGTTCCAATTATATGACATTCTTGAGAAACATTAAAGAACAGCGGTTGCCAAGGGCTTGGAGAGAGAAGGGAAAGATGAATAGGTGAAAACAGGTTTTTAGGATAGAGGAACTATTCTGTATGATACTGTAATGATGGATGCATGACCATATACATTTATCAAACCCCATAGAACTCTACAGCATAAACAGTGAAACAATGTATCCAAATTTTTAAAAATAACTGTTTAGGAGGTTAGGGAATCTCAGGAAATAATACAGACTATGATAAGAGAATCTAATTGTATTAGAAATGTATAACACAACCTTACTGAAAGGGTTGGAGGGAAAGGTGGTGTCCTAAATAACTGGAAATGAATGGAGCCTGTATGTCTGAAGGCAGAAAGAACTGCACATAGGTACTGTACTCTAGTTGATAAGTTGTTTCCCTTGGGGGTATGAGTTAATAATCTGATACTGCTATACCTATATACTGGAATTCAACAATTAAGTAAATGGATGACGTGGTAGGAGCAGGTTTCTCATTGTTAGGGGACTTACAGGTAAGCAAAGGTAGGGAGCTACAATGATCTAGATGATTATGGATTAGAGTTAGAGACATCAATAAGAACTCATGTTTAGCTTAATGTAGTTATAGGAGACTATATAAGTAAATATTCATAGATATGTGTATGAGGTCTGTCTGCAAAAGTCCAACTATTGTTAATATAATGAGAACAGTTTGCACGCCATCAATGTAACCTGGCTGCCAGGGAGAGTGGATTGAAATGCACATGAGTGAACAATGGTGACTTCACTGTACTAGTCAGCGGAGGTGGTAGATACTGTGGAGTGAGCATGTGTATCCTGTGGTGGTCACATTCAAAATAAGCAAGTAGAGCAACAAATCTGCACCAAATTTTGCTTTAAACTTGAACATTCCTCCACTGAAACTATTTGGATGATTCAAGAAGGCCACAGCTATGGGCAATTGGTGATTGGCAGCTTTATCACAACAATGAGCCCACTCATGCATCACATCTCCTGCAGAGCCTTTTGGCAAAACATCAAATCACCTAAGTGATTCAGCCCCTCTACAGCCCAGATTTGGTGCGCTGTGACTTCAGGCTTTTCCCAAAACTAAAATCACCTTTAGGTGAAAAGGAAGAGATTTCAGGCAATCAGTGAGATTCAGAAAAATACAATGGGGCAGCTGATGGTGACTGGGAGAACTGTGTGAGGTCCCAAGGAACCTATTTTGAAGAGGACTTAGGTGTCATTGTCCTATGTACAATATTTTTATATCTTACATCTTTTTCAATAAATGTCTCTATTTTTCACATTACATGGTTGGATACCTTTAGACAGACCTCGTATATTCATGCTTTGTACACACATTTTTGTTTTTGTTTTGCTGTCAGATGAGAGGGCCAAACCAAATGACACCCCAGTAGCAATGAGCACATCTAGCAGCCAAAGCTTGGTTTTTAGTAATACTATTCTCTAATAAAAGGAAACAGAGCTTTTAGAAAAATAGGAAATTCTAAGATTGAGATAGGAAATATTCAACATGAACCTGAATTATCTTGTAGTGACAGAAAAATACTAAAAGACAATAAAAGAAAAAAAATTATATTCATGGGAGTATGTCAAAGGGGCATAGGAACCAAATGAAAGATTGGTTCCTGATAGCCAAAGCTGGAATAACTTGAACAAGAAATCAAGTAGTATTGAATTATACCCCAAAATATAAATATCTGTGAGGTCATTTTGATAGAAATTAAAAATTTTTTTAAATTAGTAAATAGGTACCAGAGACAAATTCTTGTGCATAAGAACTTCAAATAATAAATGTAAATATTCCACCCTAAAGGAGTGGGCTGCACACATAAACTTCCTTTTAAAGAGTATAGTATGGAAAATGAGGAAAAAGAGTAACTTTACAGTGGAGAAACCTGAAAAGCACTACTTTAGCCAGGTGATCAATGTCAACATTAAGTCACAAGTCATTTGATAATATGTACCCTTGAAATAATATGGTGACAATGGTACTTTACCTCTGTGATTTTTCTCACCCACACTCATACCCCAGGATAAACATGGAAAAAAATCACACAATTCCAATAGAGAGGCATCTAACAATATACCTGACCAGTACTCCTGAAAACTGTCAGGCCCAGGCCAGTGTGGGTGAGTTGGTTGGAGCATCATCCAGTAAAACAAGTGGTCATGGGTTCAATTCCTGATCAGGGCACATGCTTAGGTTGCAGGTTTGGTCCCCATTAGGGGTGCATATGAAAGACAACTGATTGATGTTTTTCTGTTTTGTATTGAGTTTCTCCCTCTCTCTCTCCCTCCCTTCCCCTCTCTCTGAAATCAATAAGCATGTCCTCAAGTGAGGATTTGAAAAGAAAACTGTAAGGGACATAAAACACAAGGAAAAATCTGGAGTCTTAAGATGGCGGCTTTGTTGGAGGGAGCGTAATCCCCTTCCTCTATGCAGGGGAGAGAAACTCTCCGATCGGTGGAGGAACAGAGCAAGGGGCATAGGTTATCGCAACATTTATGAAAACAGGACATCAAAAATTATAGCAGACATTGAAAAACCAGACAGTAAGGATACTGCTTCAGGACAATAGGGACCCAGGGATCAGTGTGGGGACCAGGGAGGTTGCAGCCCCCAGGCCCGGTGCTCCCTGGTCTGCTTCAGGGCACCGGGAGAGCGGAGAGCGGAGTCACCGCTCCCTCCCCGGACAACAGGGATTGGGTAACACCACGGGAGGTCTTGTTGCTTGAAGGCACAGAGAGGGGAGTTGGACTGAGAGACAGTCCTGTAGGGGCTGCAGGCACCTATGCATAGCCCTGGGAGGGGTGAGTGCCCCCAGTCTGTGGGACCAGGGGTGGCTTGGACGTGCGTCCGCGCCCCCAGCCCGGTGAGAGTGTGGTTCTGTGGAAGACCCAGACCTTGCAGCCCTGAACAAGGAAAGGGCACAGGCGTTTTCAGGTTTCTGGGGCCTGTGGTGGTGAACTCGGGGGAGCACACGTCCCTTCGGGATTTCTGACTCTTGTGCTGTGAACCCTGAAGGGTTGTGGCATTTGGGGGGTTCCTGGAGCCCGCAACAGGGAAATTAGTGGAAGTGTGCACCCCTTCAAGATCCCTGGAGCTTGCACCATGAATCCAGAAAAGATGTGGGTGCTTCCCAAGAACATAGAGCCCACTGCGGTGAAATATGGGGGAAGGGCGTATCTCCTTGCAATCCCCAAAGCTTGTACCATGA